GCAAAAAATGTGAAAACTGTGGTTGATACAGTCTGTTAACTATGGCCTATTTTTGCAAAAATGTCTGGCAGTATAGCATGCACAGATGCTGGCTACTGGAGTGCATTGAATCATGACCGTTTTTCAACGACTTAACCTGATAGCGTGAAACTCCCCTGACCGGAAAAGGGTTAATGAATGAATTTCACACAAAATTCAAAGGATGTATTATGGGCGACATTACATTTTTTGACAAAAAATCAAAGACAGCTGCTGTTGGTGAATCGCCAAACCTGAATGTTTTCCCACAGACTGTAATCATTTTTACATCGTAAACCCTAATGATACGCATATAGTTTTGTAATAAAATGTGTGCATTGTGAACATTTGTATTTCTTAACTGCAATAAGGTTAGTTCTATGAGATGACGCAACTCGTTTGTTAAAAAAACAATATCCCCCCCCCCCCCTTAACTGGTATATAGCGTCGAAAATTGACATTTGGTATTTTTTTGAAGGGAGTGCTTAACTAAACTCCTTTAAAAACATGATTTTTGGAGCTCAGTACTCTCTGCACTGAGTCAGATGAGTGAAAAGTGATCTGCGTATCACCATGGAAGCTTTGCCCCATGATCGTTTGTCAATGTTTGTTAACAAAAATTGGTTCTCGATAGCTCTTAGCACCTGCGTTCAATGGGTTTCGCTAATCTCGGGCATTTGGTAATATTCGGAGCATCATCAGAAGCGATAGACGAACCTCGCATGTACAATACTGAAAATGGCGTGTAGTTTGAATGCTGTTGTTTCCAGAGATCTTGGCAACCTGAAAAATTGGCAGATATAACATTGATTGAAGAATTGATGAACTATCATGAATTTTTTTGTGTTTGTAATGGTGATGAGACTTAATCAATGATTGCATGTTACAATAACCATTGCATTATTCAATGGAACCATTGTCATTGCGTGGGTTTGACGCCCGAAACTATTAAAATTTTCGACCACCGGGCATCGGCGGAACACCACCAGAAAAGATAGTATCGAAAGAAGGGCATGCCTAGACACTTTTCTCTGTGATAATATTTTTTAAGAGTACTTTGGAATTTTTGTTGTAGACACTCGAAATTTTGTTCTAGATACAGTTGCTAACTAATAATTAAAACATGTGAAATCTGTAAAGTCAAACGTTCATCTGTTGAATTTCCGGTCGTGAAATACGTATTTTGACCTTTCACACCTAAGCAAACCGAGTGCGCATGTGTGGTGACTGTAGTTTCATAATGCGCATATATTTTATGGTCCGCTAATTCGTTACTTGTGTAAATAATCGCAAACTATCATCGACATCAAAGGTGAGCTAGACAATGTCCTCATCAGGATCAACTTTGGTTGAAACAAAAGAAAATAAGCCTGTAAAGAAGCTTAAGTGGCTACTTGAGAGGCGTCATGGCTCCTTCCGTTAGTACATTCAATGGTATCACAACAGATAATTCTCTATTGTTTATGTGCCAAGTATAAACATATCTAATTATACACATTGTCACGATTCACAGGAGTCTAACATCAAAACAGAAAACTGTACTATTAGCATATGCAGAAGAGGAAGGTGGCATAGTGGGAACAGTAAATGGGGTTTCGAAAACACAAGATGGTAAGTTTGCTGTGTTGTATCAAGTGTGGAGAGTGTCCGGTGTATATATATATGTATATATAACTGTGTTGTATCAAGTGACGAGTGCCTGGATATATATAACTTAACTGTGTTGTATTGCATTGCAAGTGTCCAGTAAATATACCGTACTTATCCGGGTAAGAGCCCATGCCTGGGCAAACGCCTACCCCCCACTTTTGACGCAATAAAGAAGTTGAGGTCATATCCGGGCACACGGCCAGGGGGTCTTTTTCTACACAAAAAATATTTAAAAAACTATTTTCTATTCGTTGACTGTGGTTGTATTAACAGTTGACTTTCTTGAAGTCTGTTGTGATAGTTATAAAAATTGTCAATTGCGTAAAACAAGGGGTGAATGCAAAATAGCTGTGACAGCTTTCTGCCTTCAAGCAAATCGTATAAGGAGAGATGCTAAGCAAGTGTCGCACTCGTTCGGCTTTAGCGTCGTCGACAATGAAACCAATAATGCAATATTGTAGCAACCCGTACCTGAGAGAGTGGTTGAAATCACGTTATTTTGGCTTTATAAAATATTCTGTAGCAGCTTGCGAATCCATAACTGGGGCCAGCAATTTTGCAATGTCACGCCGAAGACTGCCATCTTTGTTACCATCTTTCATCACCGCTATTGCATTTCTGTCATAAAAACTATTCTTCTGTCGTTAGATTAAAAAAAAAAACTTTCTATTTCAAGTCCACTGCGATATCCATATAGTGAGACATTCCAACCGCCGGAACTTGCTGAATGATAACTTTCAACGTGATTGATAATCGTAGAGTCTGATAAGAAAGCAATGTCACGATTTGACCTTTATGATGAAATACTAGTAGTGATGTCATTCTTAGCCAATCAGTAAAGCAGATGCATAAAGGTCAAAAATGATTGCTAGACTGTAAACAAAAGCATCGTGTGCCATCGCAGCAGAGCCACCCCTTTTTTCTTGTTTCTTTATTATGATTAGACATGAATGAAAAGTGCCAAGCTGACAGACTGCGAAATCCGTGGATTAAAAGTCCAAATTGTGTGGGACGATATCGACGAACTTCAGGAATAAGTTGTAGGGATTTTGTTCGACGGCTACAGTGACGCGGACTTGGACTTTGAGTTTGACGAAGATGGCAATGAACGTACAAATAAAGATCCGAGAAGTTTTTTCAAACACTTATGAATTTTTATAATTTTTACTGTGTAAATTTGTGAAATAATTATTGATCTTGTATGACAGTTGATTCGTAATTTGTCGAGACCGGAAATCATTTTACGCAGTTTAACCCCTGACATTTTAATTCATTTTGAGTTCACGCGTATTGGGCGTGTTTGTCGGCGGGAAAATCCTAATTCAAATGATTCCTCACTGTCGATTTTTATTATTTCTGGTTTATTTGTCACATTATAAGCAATACATTATATTTGTTTTACTTCTAGTGTTGCATATTGTTCATTTATTTCCGTTGCATGTTTTCATTTGCGTGTTGTCAATTTTCGGCAATTTTCCATGTTCAGGACCCTGGGCTCATACCCTGATAAATACGGTAGGTTTGCTGTGATATATAGCCTGGAAAGTGTCTGGTATATATAGGTTTGTTGTGGTATATCGCGTGATCGTATTCCTCAACAAGTTTATCTTATTTCCTCTGCACTGAAATAAGAATCTAGTATTAAGATGGCTGCATTTTATTTATGTAAACATAAATTAACATATAACGAGCAATAAAACGTTGAGAAATAAACATGAAACTAAAATGCTCAAATTTGCATCTACAAAACCTACTGATATTATAAATAACAGCTTTGGCAAACATGTTTGATTCTGTAATAAATGGCATTTTAGTATACATTCCTGTAGATCTGTTTGAAGAGCAGTCTTTATTATAGCAGTGTCCTGCCGTGTATTGCCCTCGTTACTGGTGATATGCACTACATTACGGACATGTGACTGAATGTCAATATGATGTTACTTTAATTGCTGCAAACATAAATTTATTAGAAGATAAGAGAGTGAATTATCCAGAAATGCTTTAAATGTTAGTAGAGCAATAAAATAGTGCAGAATACGCATGCATTTTACTATCATGGATGTCCATGTGCAGACTGTTAAATGGTTAAAACAAGCACTAAATTTAACTAATGTGTTTGCCTGAATCTGACAATTCAGTTTAAAAGTTTGGCTTGTTTAAAAGTTAATATTTTCTGTATTTGCAGATGATAGAACGTACGGTGTAGAGGAAAGTGGAGGCATACTTGATAAAATTAAGAAAAAAATCTTTGGCAGTTAATTGAGGTAGGGAACTCAAATAAAAAATATATTTAAAAATAAAATGCCGTTTAATAATAAATTATTCAAAAATTGGATTAAGTGTAATAAATTAGAATTTGATACTCAGTAAACCCCCAAATGGAATTATGAATGTGGAATCGTGCAGTTGTAGGACGCCCTCGTATGAATGAGTGTTTTTGTTTGTTTCACCACAGAGGGCGCTTGTCATTTAAAGCAGACTTCCATTTAGATGAGCTTGTTTTAACTTACAGGTGCTAGCATTGTAACTGAGGATAAAGACGGGCTAGTGAGCCAGATTAGAAGAATGCTGCACACACCACATCAACCACCAGTAGCAGAAAAAGAAGAAATAATTAAAAAAGTAGCTGAAAAGATTGAAGACAAGGAAGATGACACAAAGAGACACAGAGGAGGTACCGGAACTGGTGGAGGCTAAGCGTAACTGATTACAAGTTAGATGATTTAGGAATTTATTAACTTTGTGTGTGTTTTGTACACAGAAGATAATTCTATAGTTCTGTTGGCGAGTGAGAAGTGTTGGAATTTAATTGGGGTTCCCACAAGTGAAATATTTGTGTATTATGTGTAAAGTACATTGCAATAAAATGCGTCATAATATACCAATTATGAAACTGAAAAAATAAATTTGTAATTGATTAAAAAAAATTTTATTGAAAGTAAAGTAAACAACCATGAAGTTGCTTGTGTATGTGCTAGAATATTGTGGGTATTTTTTATTGCAGTCTAAACTGCAAGAGTCTGGTGAGGGATGGGAAGGTGCATAAATGACATCAAACAGTGTTTTTTTTATAGTTATTTTGCATTATGTAAGGATGTGTTAACATTAAATATCAGGCAGCACAGCACGGTATTGTTTTTTTTTTCTATTCAGACAGTTAGAAAGAACTTTGTGTCCTTTTTAGCTTATGACCTTTTATGATAGCAATCAACTTGTGATGCTTATCTTTGATTCTCACTTGATGAGTCTCTAATGTTACAATGTGCATTACAGGACAATGGTGTAGATGTGACTGTAAATGGATCAGGTCAAAATGTTCTAAATTGTTGTGACCTTTCTTTCAGTGTTGTGGCATTAGTCATTCGGTCAGTCATTCGGTATAGTCCCTATGAACTTCAGTGAACAGTATCTAAATGCACTGCTGCTTTCATGTAACGCAGTGTGTCAAGTACATTAAACAAATACTTATACTCTTGGCCTCATTAATTCATATAAATGTTATAGTATGCCTAAGATTTCAAATATTACTGTGGAATACTTTATATTCGCTGGAATTACTTTTTGCTGAAAAGGCTTTTGCTTGGACGTTTTGCTTGGAATTTATTTTCCCTGATTTTTGATGAGTTTAATGTGAAATATAGGGGGAAAAATATATTCGCTGGATTTTATTTTCACAGAATCATCCCTTCAGCGAAAATAGCAAAAATAAATTCCAAGCGAAAATAAAGTATTGTACAGTATGTCTTTTAAATTTCATCCTGACAGCTCCATGTAAATTGACTTGACTAGATAAAGTTTACATTTTAATTACGATTCTATCAACATTTTGTATTATCTGCCAAGAAGTATAATTTATATGATGTTCTTCTTCCTGAAATAAACTCTGCAAGTGCAGTAATAACTGGTAAACCTTTTTTCATTGCCTTCTTCATGGGGGCGTACTTTGAAAAAACTACATGCCATTTTAGCATATTTAACTCAATGCACAAATCAAGAATCTCATTGTGAGAATAAACTTTATTTTAATTTTTTCACCACCAGACTTTCTCGCCCAGATTTGTCTCTACTTTGTTCTTACATTCTTCAATATTTCTGGGAGTGAACCCAAAATTTGAGACAATTGTCAGATTTAACTCAAAAAAGTTCAGCTATTTTTGTTCAAATCTTCTGACGGAAGTGCAGACTATAAACAGAATTGTTTTGTGGATTTGTGATGAAAAGAGGGAACTGGTGGTGAAAAGGTTAGAATTAGCGAAATTACAGATAAGGTAAAAAAAAAATAACATGCTAGCTAAAAAGACATGTTTTTACAGTATGGTCTATGGAGTACCTCTGATGTATTTAACAAGGAAGTATAGTGTCTATCCTTTCTATCCATTCAACCTATTTAAATGTCTGTAAATACATCTAAATTAAACTGATTAGTTCCCGTAGAATATGGAAGCTTGTGTTTTGGGAACTGTATCTCTCTCTGTGTGTCTGTCAGTCATGTATGGACAGAACGTGTTTAAAGTTGGCACAAAAACAAGTGGTGTACATACATATTTATACATTAATTTGTTTTGTTTATTATTTTATCATGTTTTTTGCAGACATGTCTGGACCAAATTCATTCAAACTTGATATTGAGATCACCTATGGCGGGTTACTGGTACATGTCATTTTGTTTTGTGATTTGCGCAGGTGGCTATGTTGGTTATTTTCATCTGTCCCTCGCCATTTCTCAAACCTGCCTTGATTGATTTATTCATTCAGAGTTGTTATAAAGACATGTCATAATGTTGGTCGTTTCATTGACAGTCGGACAACCATTTTTATTATTTATCAAGCTATGTAATGACTTGACTAATACTTTCTCTAACACTGTCATTTTAAAGGCACATCGGTGGCATTTTAAAAGCACATCAGCACCGTGCGCCACTTATGTCTAGTATTGTTGTTGAAGAAAGGGCTTCTATAAGTCAAAAATCAACAAAGATGCTTGCATCAATTATTTTAGGGAATATAAATAATCATAATTATGTAAGTAAAACAAGACTTGAATTTGAATAATATGGAGTGACAGTTGACCTTTAGTGGAAAAGTTGTTTATTTAGTTCTACAACATTATGTTCATTTTCTCCTAATAGAACATGTTTTACGAAATAATTTAAACATGTGTACATTAATACGACCGTTTATTTCACCTTGCTTCAGCACCCGAAGTAAGTTGGGGAAATACGGAAGGAACTGTGATTCTTAATAGATGCTAATCTACAAGAATCTAAGTGGATTACTAAAATTATTTAGGGCAGTCGTGTGTCAAGCAGGTTTCAATCAAATTGATCCAACTGCCATTTTGTTTATAGTTGTTCAATTTTATCTTCCGTATTTTTCTTTGACACACTCGATTTGTGATTTCAGTTTGCAGAGGACAACAAGACGGATGTTCCATCCACATCTCAAGAACCACTTTGTGGATTGGGATGCAATTTGGTATGCAGATGCTTTGTGATGAACTCCAGACCCGATGTGGGAAGAAGTCTGTGCAAAATAACTACTTTCAGTTTGCTCAAATGGCTACTTGCATATAGTTTTTGTACTGAAGTTTGAAAACAATCTGCATATGTTAATTAGCTAATTAATATTCTAATTAGCTACATTCAGTATGTTTTGTTAATATCTTGTACATGCATACTGTTTGTGTAGTTGAATGTCTAACACTATATTGAAATTGAACTGAATAATGTGGTTTTGTATATTATCTAAAAAGCAGTATGCATATGCTAGGAAATAAATAGTTGTGTATTATTTAAACGTAAAACAATATTGAATTAACTTTTTCACAAGAGCACTTTCTCACATTTCTAGTTTATATTTAGTACAAAAGCAAGACATATGATTTCATGTGCATGCTATTGTTTTGTTTTTTCTGTGATATTTCAGTTAAGTTTCTTCTTCATTTTGTGTCCTCAAATGTGAATACATATTCAAACTATGAATTGATTTAAAGTCGTACGAAGCAGTGTGTTAGCTTATAGTTGTGAGAAGGTTTTTACTTGGTAAATAAAAAATTGGTCGATTTATTTGTGAAGTAATTTCGCTGTCTGAATTTGATTTTTGTTTTGCAGTATCTTACTGC